TTTATTTATTTATTTATTTATTTATTTATGACACTTATATGAATCTTATTCCCTCCTGACGTTCAGGAAATTACTAAAATTACTAAAAACCTGGCTCTGGGATGTGGCATTTGAGGACTGAACCTAGAACCTCCCCCTGTGATGAATTATGATGAACTGTGACTATGACTACGAGTATGACTATGACCATGACTGGATTGACGATTTGGCTTAGGTAATTGTAATGATGATGTTTTATTGTACTGTATTGTACTATTTTAATATGTAATGACTTTGCACTTGTTGTTCTTTATATGATTGTATTTTATATATGCTGTAAGTCCCTGAGTCCCTCGTCGAGGTGAGAAGGTCGGTATAGAAAACGTCTAAATAAATAGATAAATAAAATTTCTATAGATTATTATATGTATTGAAAATCTTATATGAGTTGGTTTAACCTCTGTCTGGCTACTTAAACTGAATTACAGTGGAGAGGAAGTAATGCTCAATCATATTCAATAACTTTTCTATATCTCAATTGCTAACTATAACTCAATTGCTCAATCTATATCTCAATCTCAAACACTCAATGGTTCTTACAATGGTTTCTTCAGAGTTACCTGCCTAGCCAGCAGCACATCGGAAGCTTTCTTTCTCTACTGAAGGAGGCAGGGGAGATTCCAAAATGGAGATCTCAACCCCTGGAAAAAAGGCGGTCCCTAGACCCAAAGAGATACTTTTCTAAACCAATATCTGCAGAAAGGGCCTGCAGGCTGACTTTCCAGCCTCTGGTACTGTTTAACTTCCAGGGTGCTGCTGGGTCTGCAGCAACCCTGGGGAAATGTAAAAGAACACTACCCCATGCAACTAAAGGGTAATGCAAACTATGCTCCTGGAAGACAGAACACTCCCCGCTTCAGTTTCCCAGGATATGGAAATTTACCACTTAAAAACACACAAAAATACCTTTGTATACATACCAATACAACAGTATAAACCTTAAACACTTTCAACAAGCAATACAAGATCGCTGATTGGTATGTCCAGGGCAGACATTTTCTCTTTGTTATAAGTCTTTAATTGAACTTTCTTGACCTTACCATCAGGGCAAGGAAAGGTCTTTAGTGTGATGCCCATGGGCCAGGCATGGCGGGGCTGCCGGGCAAGTCTTTGTCCTTTAGCAACACAAGGTTGCCCACCTTAATATTGTCCTGTGGGTTTTGCCAATATTAAGGTGGGCAACCTTGTGTTGCTAAAGGACAAAGACATTCATTTGAAGCTGGCTTAAATACTCGGCCTTCCACCTCTTCCAGAAGTGGTTGGCTAAGGTCTGCACCTGTCTCCACAGGGCATGGTGAGACCCGTCCGGAACTGGATGCATAATGTCTTTCCATCCTGGCGCTTTTTGCGTCAGAATAAGTGCAGGAGTCAATGGTTGTAAGCTCTGTCATAGACTCTCTGGGATCGATGACCACAGTTCCCTCCAATGGGAATTTAGGTCTATGTAGATGTCAACTCTCAGGGACGCTCTTTCCACGTGCCATCTCTCAGGGATACTTGGATTGTGCTTTTCCTGCATGGCCGGGGATTATTGTTATTATATGTATTTATATTCTGCTTTTTCTCTCCATTTGGACACTCAAAGCGGCTCACAAATTAACAGTGTTGCAATACAACTTAAAACATACAAATATTAAAACCCTATGTCTATATATGGTTTCTCCCCAGAGTCAGTTCTTGAATGTTTATGTAGAGGTGAACTACGAGTGAAGCTCTGCCCACACTCCAGGCATTTATAGGGTTGCTCCCCAGTGTGAGTGCTTTCATGTGAACGTAGTGGTCTACTCTGAGTGAAGCTCTGTCCACACTCCAAGCATTCATAAGGTTTCCCCCCCAGTGTGGGTCCTTCCATGTTTATTTAGATGAGAACTCTGAGTGAACCTCTGTCCACATTCCAGGCATTGAAAGGGTTTCTCTCCAGTGTGAATCCTTTGATGTGTACGTAAAGTTGAACTCTGAGTGAAGCTCTGTCCACATTCCAGGCATTTATAAGGTTTCTCCCCACTATGTGTCCTTTCATGTGAACGTAGATGTGAACTACGAATGAAGCTCTGTCCACACTCCAGGCATTTATAGGGTTGCTCCCCAGTGTGAGTGCGTTCATGTGAACGTAGTGATGTACTCTGAGTGAAGCTCTGTCCACACTCTATGCATTCATAAGGTTTTTCCCCAGTGTGCGTCCTTTCATGATTATTTAGATGAGAATGCTGAGTGAACCTCTGTCCACATTCCAGGCATTTATAGGGTTTCTCCCCAGTGTGAATCCTTTGATGTGTACGTAGATATGAACTCTGAGTGAAGCTCTGTCCACACTCTAAGCAATCATAAGGTTTTCCCCCAGTGTGCGTCCTTTCATGATTATTTAGATGAGAATGCTGAGTGAATCTCTGTCCACATTCCAGGCATTTATAGGGTTTCTCCCCCGTGTGAATCCTTTGATGTGTACGTAGATTTGAATTATGAGAGAAGCTCTGACCACATTCCTGGCATTTATAGGGTTTCTCCCCAGTGTGAATCCTTTGATGTGTACGTAGATTTGAACTCTGAGTGAAGCTTTGACCACATTCCAGGCATTTATAATGTTTCTCCCCAGTGTGAGTTATTTGATGTGTACGTAGACCTGAAATCTGAGCAAAGCTCTGTCCACATTCCAGACATGAATAGGGTTTCTCCCCAGTGTGAATCCTTTGATGTTTACGTAGATTTGAATTATAAGTGAAGCTCTGACCACATTCCAGGCATGTATAGGGTTTCTCCCCAGTGTGAATCCTTTGATGTGTACGTAGATGAGAACTCTGAGTGAAGCTTTGACCACATTCCAGGCATTTATAAGGTTTCTCCCCAGTGTGAATCCTTTGATGTTTACGTAGACCTGAAATCTGAGCAAAGCTCTGTCCACATTCCAGGCATGTATAGGGTTTCTCCCCAGTGTGAGTCTGATGTGAATGCAGAACTGAATGAGCGAAGCTCTGTCCACACTCCAGGCATGTATAGGGTTTCTCCCCAGTGTGAGTCCTTTGATGTGTATGTAGACTCGAATTATGAGCAAAGCTCTGCCCACACTCCAGGCAGGAATAGGTTTTCTCGCCAGTGTGAGTCTTTACATGTTCCTGCAGATGATCCCTCCGAGTGAAGCTCTTTCCACACTCCAGGCATTTAGAGGCTTTCTCCTCCATGTCAGCAATGATACGAGTATTTAATTCCAATACAGAGACTTGACTCTTCTTTATTCCTTTGTTCTCTGTAAGTGAAGTCAAGAATTCTCAAGAGGATTTCTTCTCCCTGTGTTATTGGTTTCCTTACTGCATCCAAGAGGTCGCTCCAAAGAGTCCTCACTTCCCTGGTGAAGAAAGAAGAGAAAGATCAAGGATGGAAGCCAGAGACCTTCTGTACCTCCAAGATTTCCCCCTTCCCCTTCATGGGTCACGCTGAGAATGGAAATACCAAGAAATGCAGACGCTGGGGCCTCAAGCACATACATAATGGGTCCCAGGTTTACTTTCTGAGCAACCCAAACTAGATACCCGCTGCTACAAAATTTCTATATTTTCCTGCAGCTAACCAAGCCTTTGCCTTTCCAGTCATCTAATTCAGAACCACATTGAGGCTTGGTTGTGATGTTCACATGAGTCTCTGCTGAAGGAAGTCCCCTTGGGGTGATTCATTCCCTTGGCTCAGCCCCAGGATGGGATTGTCAAGAGTCAATTTCTGACGGCATGAAGACATCACAAATTCCCTCCATGACATCCTGGCTGAATCATCCTGGCTGAATCAATTCTCTCTCTGTGACATTTTGAAGGCAGCAGAGGGTGCTGGAAACCTTGTATTGGAACTTGTGAAGCAACAAGGTCTAATAAGAAAACTGAGAAGAGGGGGAGATGGGCAGCAAAGGTGTATAAAAGGAAGTGGTGGTAGGGAAAAGTCAGTAGTGTCTTTCTTTGCTGCAGAGATACAAGCAATATATCCATTTCAAAGCAAAACGGCTTGTGAGTGGTTATTTAATATTGCTATATAGATCCTACAGTCTGACATTAGGTGGGGGTTCTCCTCAAAGGTGGAGGCTGATGGAAGCAAAATTGACTGCTATGGAGACTATGTTACAACAGCTGTCCTTCCAAATAGGAGGAGGGATAGAAGCTGGAATACCAGTATCTTTCCAGGGAGCAGCGGAGAGTGGGTTTAGAGGAGTTACCCTAGAAGGGAATCTTAGATCAACTGGGAGCAACAAATCCTACTTCAGTTTGCAGATGACACCAAATTGGGAGGGATAGCCAATAGTCCAGAGGACAGGAGCAGGATTCAAAAAGATCTTGACAGATTAGAGAGATGGGCCAAAACTAACAAAATGAAGTTCAACAGACAAATGCAAGATACTCCACTTCGGCAGGAAAAACGAAATGCAAAGATACAGAATGGGGGACGATGATGCCTGGCTCGAGAGCAGTACGTGTGAAAAAGATCTTGGAGTCCTCGTGGACAGGAAGGGGAACATGAGCCAGAAATGTGAGATGGCAGCAAAAAAAGCCAATGGGATTTTGGCCTGCATCAAGAGGAGCCTAGTGTCTAGATCTAGGGAAGTAATGCTACCCCTCTATTCTGCTTTGGTTAGACCACACCTGGAATATTGTGTCCAATTCTGGGCACCACAATTCAAGAGAGATATTGACAAGCTGGAATGTGTCCAGAGGAGGGCGACTAAAATGATCAAGGGTCTGGAGAACAAGCCCTATGAGGAGCGGCTTAAGGAGCTGGGCATGTTTAGCCTGAAGAAGAGAAGGCTGAGAGGAGATATGATAGCCATGTATAAATATGTGAGAGGAAGCCACAGGGAGGAGGGAGCAAGCTTGTTTTCTGCTTCCCTTGAGACTAGGACGCAATGGAACAATGGCTTCAAACTACAAGAGAGGAGATTCCATCTGAACATGAGGAAGAACTTCCTGACTGTGAGAGCCGTTCAGCAGTGGAACTCTCTGCCCCAGAGTGTGGTGGAGGCTCCTTCTTTGGAAGCTTTTAACAGAGGCTGGATGGCCATCTGTCAGGGGTGATTTGAATGCAACATTCCTGCTTCTTGGCAGAATGGGGTTGGACTGGGTGGCCCATGAGGTCTGAAGGTCAAATTCAAGGGGGACCCAGAGGAAGTTTCTTATTTCATTACTAATGTGGAGAATTATATGCAGGATTATGGACATTTGTTTCCTTCAGAGGCAGCCCGAGTAAGGATGATTGGGGCTAATCTTAAAGCCAGTGCTGCAGATTGGCCATTGCGATTGCATGCAGCCAGGGCCCCTCAGTTAAATCGGGTGAGAACATTTTTGGAAGCTTTAAGAGCCAGGTTTCAAGATCCGTGAGAGGGGCTGAAAGCCTGCCTCTTAGCTTAAGCAGTTGAGCCAAGGAGTGCGGTCAGTGTCTCAGTGTGCGCTGGAATTTCAGGCTTTGGCTGAAAAGGTTCCAGAATGGTCAGAAGCAACACCATTGGAGTACTTCAAAGATGGCTTGAGGCCTGAGCTTTTGGATTGGTGCCTGCATAGGGATGATCCAGATCAGTGTTTCTCAACCTTCCTAATGCCTTAATACAGATCCTCGCGTTGTGGTGACCCCCAACCATAAAATTATTTCCGTTGCTACTTCATAACTGCCATTTTGCGACTGTTATGAATCGTCATGTAAACACCTGATATGCAGGATGTATTTTCATTCACTGGACCAAATTTGGCGCAAATACCCGATAAGCCCAAATTTAGAATACTGATGGAGTTGGGAGAGTTATTGATTTTGTCCTTCGGGAGTTGTAGTTGCTGGGATTTATAGTTCACCTACAATCAAAGAGCATTTTGAACTCCACCAACGATGGAACTGAACCAAACTTGGCACACAGAACTCCAACAAAAATGACCAACAGAAAATACTGGGAGGGTTTGGTGGGCACTGACCTTGGGTTTAGGAGTTGTAGTTCACCTCCATCCAGAGAGCACTGTGGATCTAGACCAGACTTGGCGTGAATGCTCAATATGCCCAAATCTGAACACCGGTGGAGTTTGTGGAAATTAGACCCTGACATTTGGGAGCTGTAGTTCACCTACAATCACAGAGCATTCTGAACCCCACCAACGATGGAATTGGGCCAAACTTCCCACACAGAACTCCCAACGGAAAATACGGTGTTTTCTAATGGTCTTTGGTGACCCCTCTGACACGCCCTC